TTTTTTTTTCTAATTTCCTTTTAACTGCATGCACCCATGATTATAGAGAAAGAGCTTGCTCTGGGGATGATTCTGGAGGTTCAGCACGTAGGGCAGTTTTGCATACTTTTTCTCTTGGTGACTTGGAAAGTTGCGGACCGAATCATGTGAGTATAACGAAGACAGATTAGGACATCTTAAGATGCGATGCTTGTTTCTGCTGTCCTGACTCATAAATGTGTTGTATGGAGGTAGGTGCTCAGAGCATGCAAACCGTAAGTCCTGATGGGATCCCTAGAGAATGCACTGGTTTCCACAAAGGGGAATACGGGAGAATCCAAGGAAGCCTAAAACCTTTTTTTCCTTTATTCTCAAGGGATAGTAAATTCTATTCTATCTATCTATTATTTTTTAATTTTAACTTCCAAACCTATTTCTCTTATTGATAATCTGAATCACTAGCTAATATGTTTTCTTTATATCTACTCAACTTTTAAGGCTTTTAAAGAGTAATATAGAATGTTTACAACATATTTTTCAATCCTGAGCCTTTGTGAAAACCAGTGGATTTTTTTCTTTGAGAGATGGATTATTTGTTTTTCACTTTATCAGAGAAAATGCATAGCCAACAAATTCATTACCAACTGTGAAGTCTTATACTTGAAAGAGAGAAAGATACTGGATATCTAAAAGTGCACAAACTCAAATTTAGAGGCCAGACTTGAACTGATGGTTGTGGTCCAGATAGAAGCAGTAAGAAGGCTTTAGGTCATTTCTTTAACTATCATCAAAAGTGACACCAGTAGTCCTGGTCACACCTGGAGTTTCATTTCCAGTATTAAACAGCACCATACCCAGAGAAGAACCTGTCAGAAGGTAAGTCACAAATAAAAATTTTTGTTAATGTTATTGGTAAGGGTCAGATCTTCAGTCTTGCTCCAGTCAGTTATTTCCAGTGACATCACGCACTGTACAGTCTTACTTTCATCGGTCTGACTTTCATCTGTGGTTATCTTTCATTACAATTATTTTGTTCAGAGTTCATAGATCATAAATGTTAATTTTTTGCAGCTATTTAAATTGTTATGTGTTGTGTTACTCAGCTACATAACTGGAAAAAAGTAACTTTGAAGCAGTCTTGGTATTTACTCCTTTACCTTATTGGTCCGTTATTTTCAGTATGTTTTTGTTTTGTGTATTGAAGGTGACAACAGAGGTTGGAAAACTTCTTGGTGAAGAAAAGGTGGATGCAATCTTATGTGTAGCAGGAGGATGGGCTGGAGGCAGTGCCAAAGCTAAATGTAAGCTTTCGTTACATGGGTGCTAGTGAACACAGGAATGAAATCAGGGAGGAATCCTGAAAAATCATGGTAATAAAGATATTTGAGATCCTCTTTCTTCCTGAGTCCAGAAGAGGACATGAGTCCAATCACAGGACAGCAGCTCAATCACAATGCTGCTTAGTGCTTCTCTGAATTTTTGCTGTCTGTTCAATTTGCACAGTGCTTTTTGTTCTCAGTAATGCTGTTGGCACCAATTTTCATCAGAAAAATCTTGATGCACTTTGTGAAGGAGTTCATCTATAAAATAACTTTTGCTGAGGTTACCTGTGTCAGGCAAATTACATAAGATAGTGATTGGGTAGAAACATTGATGTTTCCTAATGCACTGCTTTATGCATTAAAACCTCAGTTGCTTCCTGCAGTTCTCTGAGCTGTTACTGTGCAATACAGTATTGGAAGGAGCTGTCTAATGACCTGAGATCGTACCATGGAAAAAAACCTTTCAGTTTAAAAAAAGCTTTTAAACATGTAATACTCAGAATGAAATTTTATACTTTACCCACTCGTGTAGATATACAAGAAGAAAAAATAGCCTTGTTTTCTGTCTGGAGTAAATCTGGTAAAATGTGTCCTTTTCTTCCCCACTTCCAATTTGGACATTACAGGCAAAGATTTGTAAGAAGCAATAGGGAAAAGCATACACACTTACACCACAGTTGCATTATATTAGATTGTTATTAGTGTGCCCTGTATTTTAAATGTGGTAATTTATCATAACCGTCATCTATAGTGATGTTATTGGTAGAGTAGCAGGATATCTTGGGATAGGTGGTCAGGTTATGCCACAGAGCTATTTATGCTTGTTCCATATTGTGTTATGGAAGCGGTTCTTTCTGAAAACTAAGATCTTTTGCATGGGAAAAGAAGAAAATCAACAACTAACCATGTCAATATTGATAATAAAAAACAACCAAGAGAGTTCAAATTTTGCTTTGATTTGAAGTTATTGGTGTACCTCCCCAAGTAGGCTGCCTTACCAGAGGTTGCTCTCCAGTACGTAGGGGCACTGGAGTGCACGCTTGGTACAGTGCAGATGCGTGCATCTTTGATATTCCATACCAGCGTACTAATGTCAGACAGACAGATGGCTTCTTGGTTTATGAAGTAGTCTGGTGGTAAGAAATACTTCTTGTTCAAATCCTGTATCTCTTGGAGCCTTCTGTCTGCATGCCAGTGGAGCATACCTCTTTTGGAGGTAGTGAGGAAGTTCTGGAAAGAGACAAATCACACTACTACAAGGTGAGATGAGGCTAATGTGAGAGTTCTGAGATCCTTGCAATAGATTAAAGCAACCCTTAGAGGAGTTTCACGAACTTGGAAATCTTTGAACCATTAATGGAGAGCTAATGGAACTATCTTGTGTTTATTTTTTAATTTATTTCTGGTAGTGAGAAAACAGATCATTGCCTAGAATATATGCTGTAGAGCTGGGACTCAGAGCCCAAAGAGAAGGGAGATATGAAAGACATCCATTGATACTTTACCTAATGTGGAAGTAGAAAATGGTAGAAAGCATGTTTTCATAGTCCTGTTGCACTCTGTGTAACAGTAAGGAAATTAGTTACAAGTCTTCTGTCTTTTAGTTAATTTCACTAATTCTCTTCCTAATCAGCTTTATACAAAAACTGTGATCTGATGTGGAAGCAGAGCGTTTGGACATCGACTATTTCCAGCCACCTAGCCACAAAACATCTGAAAGAAGGCGGCCTCTTGACTTTGACAGGAGCTCAAGCTGCTTTGTCTGGAACCCCAGGTGAAATGTTCACAGAATAACTGCTGGGACATCAGCAGTTATAGCTGTCTGTTAGTCTGAGCATTCTTGTTTGTGAAGCAACAGTTTCACTCCCCAATTTCTTGACATCTAGTACAAATGGGAAATTGCTGCTGAAACGCTTAAGGAAAGTGTAATTTTACAGGTAGCAATACTGAATCTCTTGAAGCTGGAGTGTAAACAGGTAGAATCAGTGTTTAAATAATATTTGAGGTGCACTGGTGAAATGTACTTGGCTAATACATGATACAGTAAAAAAAAAGTTTGGAAAATAATGGAGAATAGAAGCACACAGCACACTAAGTACAGTGCTTAAATAAAGTTAAATCTCCTATTTGTGTTCTGAAAGGCAGAGTCCTTAATTGCCCAGTTTTTCCGTTGGTGATGACTCGTCTGATTTTGTTAACTGTGCTTGTCCTGTTCATATTCTGATTCCAGTCTACCTTTGCTTTAGACACAGTTAAGCTTGTTCGCCTTCAGGTTTTCCCTCCATTAGCTATTTAATACAAACTTTATTGAGTTTTTCCATCTCTCTCCTTGCTGTGTTGGTCTGCATGGAGGAAGAAATCTGGGAGCAGTTAAAAAATTTTCTTTTAAAAAAAAAACTGACACAGAGGCCCACAGGCAGAGAGAAGAAAGTTTTTGAAACAAATCCTCTTATTTCTCAGTCTTTTATTAGTGTGACTTAACAATACTTTCATGCGACAGATACTAAAATTTTAAAACATACAGATTTTGTCAATCTTCCTGAAAGCTGTGTCCAAAACTGTTCAGGAAAAATACTCTGTATTTTCTAGTTAATAATTTATCTCCTGTGTTTACAGCTGCATCTGGCATAGTCTGAAGATGAAAGGCTTATTTTGTGAGAATAAGCAGATGTATAATTTTCTGTGTACTACTGACTGACTGGAAAAATGTGAACTCTGGAAAACTTTTAATGTTTTTTGTTAGGGTGATTTTGGGAGGTAGGGACCACAACATAGGAGTCAAAGTAATTTGCTTTCATGTTTTGAACTAGCTGGTTTCAACGAGTCTGGGTTTTTCTAAAAAACACAGCAGTGCTTTGGGCAAACACATGCAACTTATTAACATCAGGTGAAAGAGTTGTTACTCAACTTTTACAAATACAGCTTGTTACTACCAGGCGTTACGGAAGGAGTAATCTCTTTCTTGTTTGCTGTTAGCGTGATTTCTCTTTTCCTATGTGAAAATGTTGAATCATTGAAGAATACTGAAACAGTTAGAGAAGCAGTCTGGCAGTGATGGCTAAGAAACATAGAAGCACAAAAAGATTTAAGAAGACTTGGAATGTTTGGTTTAGACAAGAGGGAAGTAGGACAGAGATGCAAATATTTTTGTTACAACAGATAAGTGACCTGCTGCTGCCCATGATTTCTCGTAATAAACGTGGATGTTATACACAATATGTCTAACTGAATATAGTGGAAACACTTCTACAGCGCAAAATTACCTTTGTAACTTTGATTCAGAATACTTCTGCAGGAGCATTGGAGAGGGGTTGTGTAGTTAAATAGATGGGCAGAAGGGCATCCAGTTGTAGACAAAATACATTTATGCTTTTTTTTTATGTGCTTAATGTGTGTATGGACTACTTGGCAGAGGTACATACCATGAGACATCTCAGACCTATAGCACTCTGATTGTCCAAATCTTGTACCTGACCACTGTGCCTTATGCTCTCATTCCTGTTGCTCTTACACTGCTAAATACTGTCTGCCTAGAAAGCAACAGTGCTGAGAAAGAAGTTTGCTTTACCTGCAGGTTACCTAGTAGTTTTCTATCATCAGGGTTTTTTTGTTGTTGTTATTGTATTCTCCAGAGGGCCTGTCAGACTTGGAATGCTGACTGAGTGAATTATGGTTCTAGAGAAAAATGAGCTGTATGTGTTTGGACCCAAACCTGCAAATACCTTAGTGATATGATTAAAATTAATGGATGATTTCCTTATTAAAGTCTATGAGCAACTTCACACTTAATCGATTAGATTTGGATGGGGCCGACAGGGCTAACCTTACTTCAGGGTACATTTGGGTACATGAACTAAACGTACTTAACTCAGTAAGCTGCTTATTTCTGTAGTGCTGAGCAGGCTGCATACTGTGATAGTTCCTGGATGTCTAGTAAGAGCTTTTTTTTTTCTTTTTTTACTTTTTTTTAGTATGTATCTTTTGATATGTTTTAAAAGTCTGATTCTGTTCTAGCTGTGGTAAGTGGTCTTAGAAACTCAGATTGTTTGATGAATATTGTCGTAGTACTGATGATATTGAGAGCTGGTTTGATCGTGTTCTGATTTGCCTGTTTTTAATTGTTAGGGATGATTGGCTATGGCATGGCCAAAGGAGCAGTGCATCAGCTTTGTCAGAGTTTAGCTGGCGCCAAGAGTGGCTTGCCATCTGGTTCTGCTGCGGTTGCCATTTTACCGTAAGTGGTTGCATAGTTACCTCTGCGATGCTTTATTTAATTACTGCTGTAACCTGGAGTCACATGGATATGCTTGCGATGTCCTGTTCGCAGTACACAAGCAGCTTCTCAGACCTGCTTACAGTTTCATGGAAGAAGGAGGCGTCTTGAATATATGAACAAAATGATACACAAGTCACCCTAAAAATGATTAAATTATTTTCTTTTCCTTTGCAAAGCAGTAGTGGACGTTAGGATTAAAATTTGATTCCCTTTTAACCAGTTTCACTGTAGCCAGTCATTAGTGTCTGATTTTTTTTTTTCCTGTTTTTTTTTTTTTTTCAGTATGGACAGAACTTTGAAAATGATATGAGCTATTCAGCACAGTTTTAGACTTAGGTATGTGATAATAGTAAAGCAAAGGACTACTTGAGAAGTTTTTACTTGGTTAAAGATGCTTCTTTATAAAGTGCAGCATATCTGTGCTTGATGAGTAAAATCAGGTCACTTTGAGGATCTGTGAAAAGAGAAAGTTTATCTTGTATTTGCCTGTCACAGCTTTCTTTTTGATGAGGAAAGCTAGTAAAACGTGGATTGCCTAATAGGTCTTCAGTATGTCAGAAATCTTCAGTATGGCAGAAACCAAGATTAGTGGACTTTTGGGCATTCTGTGCTTACATAGTTCTAATGCAAAACTGTCCTTGAGTGAATTAAGGGAGTAATTAGACCTTGGATTGTCAACAGCATCGCAGTGAGGGAGTTGTGAAAAGTTTGCCCCCTTAATATCATGGCATGTAGTGTAAATGCATATCATCGAAGTCGAAACTTCATATGCTTGTGCACTGAAATCTCTGCATTTGCACACTGGCAGGAGGCTATTTGAAAACACGGATGTAGTGCATATGTGCTGTGCAGTTTATGCGAACAAGCATATTACTGCCATTTCCTGTCTGCATGAGAGAGACTGGAAGGGAGCTGTGGGCTAAGTGATTGCCCTAATGGGTGGGATGTCATCAGCGAGCCAGAAAGGTGAGGGGTTGTAAGTTGGAGCCTTTGATATATATTGAAACTGATGGCTATATGCAGTTAACACGTGTAGGGGATGCAAGGGAAATGAATACCATGTCGTACAAAAGTCAAGCATATGTTACAGTGATGAATAGAAGCAGGTGGTGCTCATCAGAAACATGATGTATAAATAAAAGACTTATCTTTTTTAATCACAGAGTTACCTTAGATACACCAGCAAACAGGAAATCAATGCCTGATGCAGATTTCAGCTCCTGGACGCCCTTAGAATTCATTGCTGAGTGAGTATCTGTGTGATACTGAAGCAATTCCTCACTGTCCGTCTTGCTGCTGCATCTTATTGCATGTTCTTTCTGAATAGCTGTCTTGGATTTGGGTGGCTTTTTCCTCCCTTACCTCCTCCTTGTGTACGTTTCTAAATCACGTTGAGCTTATTGCGCAGGCTTCTTAACTGGAGAAAATTAGCTCAACTCTGTCAACTTCAGCATCTCCACGCCAGTTATTCCAAAAAAGGAGATAGCCTTAAGCAGTTGGGAGCCAGAGAATCTCATAAAGCCTGTAGACAAATTAAATTGCAGACAGCAGATGCAGAAGACAGTAGTCTGGCTTAAAGGTAAACTGCAAATACGCATGTAAACTTTGGTGGGATTTTTTTTTTTCCTTTTAAACACTCTTTACTGCCCAGCCTCTGGTGCGTTAGTTCACTTCTCTCAGCGGGCAAAATTCCTGGTCTTATTTAGAAAAATTTAGTCAAGATTTTTTTTTTTTAACCCATCATCCACAAAGTCGTGTCTTGAATGATGTTGCAAAATGCTGAAAGTTCAACAGCAGCTTATTTAATAGCAGGCCGAGACTAAGGCTTACTCTTTCTAATTTCTCTGAGGTAGAGAAGGTGCAGCATAAGTACTGCTTTCTGTGATGTGATGGGGAGTAGCAAAGATTCTGCTGAGAATGAGCTGTCAAAAGGAAGAAAGTAAGGACACAACTGTCTTGTCTCTTTGAGGAAAAACAAAGATGAATCTACATTCATACATTGTAAAGGGCTTTACTCTTACACGTTTAAGTCTTCTGGAACTGACACTGAAATTGCATTTACCTATTATTGCTGATTGTTGAAGAGAGTAGTTTAGTTCTGACATTAGATTTCTCTGGGTTTTGTGATTATTTTTTTTGAAGTTGAATGTCAGAGTGGGAAATGGTTTTTGTTGCTAGAAGCCTATACAGCTGTTTGATGTGGCTTTCTAAAAGGGCCTCATCAATTGAATTTAATTGGCCTAAAAATGTTCAAAAAAAATCTTTAATTTATTGCGCTCAGGAGGCTGCTTAGCCAGATGTTGTGGTTTTAAAAATCCATTTTTTAATTTCAACTTTTAAGTATTTTACCCTTATGGGAGAATTAGGTTGATTGGTTTGTTTTTGTCTCTTGGGTTCTAATTCCTTAAACTTTAAATCCAGCTTTGAAAACAAACTCACTGGCTGTGGAAGAAAAACATCCAGTGTTGTTAAGTGTTGGTAACGTGCATCTTGGGAAGAATGCAGGAAATCTTTTCCCATAGGGCACTTGAATTTTGTGCCCTGGGAGCCCTTGTGTCAGATAACAGGACGTTCCAACATGGCTGTTGCTATGTCTGCAATATTGGAAGGGTTGATGGACCTGAAAAATACACTGCACTTTCTGTATTATAGGGTATGTAATGATATATATCCTATATAAGGAGTGTTCTGGTGTGCTACTAGAGTGAGTCCATCTTACTCGGCATTGTTTTGGATATCTTAAGGCTTTCTGTGCTTCTGCCAAGACCACTTTCACAGTTAAATATCTAAGCGTTATAATGACCTGTTGGCAAAGTAATGGCTTTAGTAACTCTGTTTATCCATGAATCTGTGTTCCTGATATGTACTATAAAGGCAACTGAAGTAGCCTCTCCTTCTCCTTTTCAAAATTTTGGGTTTTTTTTGACTTGGAAAAAACTTGCCACTTTGACATTTTAAGCTCCAGGCTTTTTCCTTTGAGATGTTCTGAAAATCCAGTATGTGTACCATAAAGCTGTATGGATTTCTCTGGGCCTCTGTCCAGCTCTGGAGGTCTGAAGCCAGTGGTCGCATTGCTAGTTTACAACATACATAAAAATCACTAGAGAGGGCTATAGGAAAAGAAGGAAAAGTAATAGGCTTTATTTTATGCTTCCTTTCAATATACCTGATAGTACTTATTTTTCTCCTCCTTACCCTGTTTTATCCATTTATTTTAAAACAGAACCTTTTTTGACTGGATAACAGGAAAGAATCGACCAAACTCAGGGAGTCTAATCCAGGTGATAACTACAGGAGGGAAGACTGAACTAGTTGCAGCACATCTTTGATGTTGGTCACTGAAGATGGAGGAGCTTCAGCAAAGGACAAGCTATGGAAAATCTGTCTGCCAGTATAATTTGGATGGTCGTCTATACCCAGTGACTGTAGTTACGTCATTAATGGAACCAGATTTCTAGTATTTCTGTGCTGTCAGTTGTGAGCTATCAGCATTTATTTACCAACAAATGTCAAGCATTTGTCTCTAAATGAAGGTGGCAGGCTTTAAAGTCTGTAGATGTCCTAATCCTCAGCATTATATGTCAACTTACCTGTTTTCTATGAAATGGGAATTGTGCTTAATTATGTCATGTAATCCATATATAATGGTTGGATTTTTTTTTTTCTCAGTAAGTGTTTCTGGCAACTTACTGTGAATCTTGCAGTAGTCTGTCTGTCTTTTTCTGTCTGAGAATGTAACCTGCCCTGCATATTATGTTGGCTGTAATTACAGGAAAACATTGAAGTCATATATGATGTCCTAGTCTTGTAACATTTTTCTTGTGAATGTTCCAATGGAGCTAATGGAACTGTGTAGAGATTACTCACTTGAGGAGGAGTTCCTAATTTGCCTTACAGTTTATAAGCTGCTGTCAGGCCTACAATTGTAGGATAAAACAGTCATTCTGCCAAATGATTAGTGTGTTTTGTGTAATTCATAATGGTTCTTCTTGAAAAAGCAAAGTTCTGTAAAGAAGTACTAGAAAAAACATACACACACTTCCATTTGAATATGGAACTTTTTGTGCTAAATAAATGTATATTGGTTTATGTACTGGGCTATCTCCATCACTGTAATCCAAATATTTGGATAACATTTTAATGAGTTTAACTGAACTTGCAGTTCGGATATGGCAAAGGACTTCATTTTTTACTTATTTACTTCTGATTGTGCTGAGTAAAATGTGCTGGAGGTGCAGAAGAGCTACTAGCCATGCCTAGAGGCAGGCCTTCAGCTGGAGCAAATATTTTCTTTATGTGGAAATATAGTTTGGTTGCAGAGTGAAAGTATTGCCTGTTCTGAGCATGGGCTTACATGGAACCAGTACTGTCAGGTTTTTTTGGAACATCTTGAAAACAATTGAACATGCAAAGTTGTATGTATGTTCTCTCTATGCACTTTTTTTTTATTAACTTCAGGGTTGTGTTGGGGAAAGATTTACTGCCAAGAGTCAGGAAGCCTTTCCCCTCTTCCCACTAGAAAAAGCTTACATGTGCCCATGTCACTTTTAACATGGTCATATGGCTGTGTGATTGCCTTTTTTGGTATGACTGTCCCTTTACTCGTTTTATTCTGCTAGATGCAAAGCTGTAGAGGGGATTTTTTGTCCTGTCAAACCAGTCATGAGCTGTCAATTCATGAAGCTGATTTTGATTTTTAAATGGAAGACTCGTAGCCTTACTGTTTGACCAGCAATTTCTACAGGCTAAGTGTACAGACGAAAACTTCAAGGTGCTGGTAAGGAATGAAACACGAAGGTGTTACTCCATTATTCTGGAAAAGGGAAGAGATGTACTGTAAGGCTTCCTGTTGCCAAGCTAGCTGCATTTCCAAGTTGCTTTCAAGTTACTATTTTGTGTTGTTTTGCAAACATCTATTGAATTGTGTCTTGGAAGCTTCCCTGAAGAGCAGATCAAACCTTGAATGGTGAAGGGAGCACAGCTGGGATTCCAGAGGTGTATTTCTACAGTTGTGTAAGAGCACAGGGCTAAGGACCTAGCAGGCGGTATGGCTCATGGAGATTTTCACAGAATTTGCTGTGGCAGAAGATGATAACAGCAAATTGGACTGGGACGAGCAGAGAATCTTTTATTTGCTAAGGGCTACAGGGGCTTTTCAGGCATCTTTTAGAGATTATGTGCATGTACATAATCTCTAAAAGTTGTTTAATTAATAACCTGGTAACAATTAATGTTCGTATTAATAACCTGGTGAAAAAGGCAAATGGCTGGTCATTGGTTGTGTGGAATTAAGTTGAAGGTTGTGACTAACCAACACACAGATTATACAGGAGAAAAGAGGGAAACCAGGTTTAAATTTTCGTAGACAACACAAGGTCAAGCAAAGACAATGAGATGTAATTCATGCATTTCAGAAGCTAGGCTGCTTCCTCCTCCTTCAGTAGAAAGACCTGATTATCCTGGTAGGAAAACCTGAGGCAAATCTGTGGTTCTGACCTAAGTGCTTCAGGTGTGTTCTGCCAGTGTCAGCTGCAGGGAGGGCCTTTAAAGCAGTTGTCTACTCTATGCTAAGGAGAGGGTCACTAAGCTTGTGGAGATCTAACCTGAGCAGTTGTCTCCCTCCGTGTCATATCACATGAATGCACTAGCGCAGGTCTAGAAGCAGAACAGCTGTGTTAGGACAGTGTTGAACATGAAGCAGTGCCACCGGTCACTCTGTGCTGCTGTACATCTGAACCAGTACCGGGTTCAATGCCTCACGGGGGTCTGCAGTGCGTATCCTGGCTGCTGTTCTCACCCAGCTAATTAAATGAAAGGCTGTGGTTATTGTAAGACAGAGTAGTTGTATAAATGCATGAGATGGAAGAAATCCATGTTGAATGGAATGTGAATGTAGTAACAGGAACATTGTCCTCAACTGAGCTTTCCTTCTTCCACGCTTTCTTGAAGGGGGAAGAATGGTAGAAAACAGAGCAATTTCTCCATTCTGTAAAAGGTGTCTACTGTAGTGTCCTCATTCAACTTGTACTGGTGTCTACTGGATAAGAAGTGGTAATACGGCTATTGGGAAAAATAATATGTTGACTGCAGCAATGTAAGAGTGGTGAAATATACAGACTGTGAAACAGTGAATAATGTTGAAACGTAATTGTGAATGGAAGACTGTTGACTGGATTGTTAACTTTTATCAGTTGCAGGAAGGAGTGGAAAGATAAGAAAATGATATTACTGAAGCCTTAGAGTGAGGATGAAGGTGTTGGCAATTGTATGTCAAGCCTGCTGCTGGAGGTGAGAGATTTCAAAACCTGGGGGATTTGATGGAAGAGGCTTTATGTGATTAGTTTCACTCTGTGTCTCTACAAACTTTATTCCATTTAGGTAATTGTCTAGGAAGAAAAGCCACCCTGATGCTGCAAACATCTAGTTTGCCTGGATCCTTCAGCAGGCTCAGAGATCTGTTGGTGCTGCAATTAGGAGGAGAGGTATGGGGCCATTGTAGCGAGGTGAATGTCAGTCTCTTCTCCCAAGTAACAAGTGAGAAGACAAGAGAAAATTACCTCGGGTTGCACCAGGGAAGGTTTAGATTGGATATTAAGAAAAATTTCTTCACCGAATGGGCTGTCAAGCATGGAACAGGCTGCCCAGGGAAGTGGTTGAGTCACCATCCTTGGAGGTACTTGAAAGATATGTAGATAGGTACTTAGGGACATGGTTTAGTGGTGGACTTGGCAGTGCTAGGTTAACAGTTGGACTTGATGATCTTCAAGGTCTCTTCCAACCTAAACGATTCTATGATTCTTTGAGAGGTGTAGTCTGTAGGAACTGCAGGGAGTTAATACATACTAAACGCACAGACATGCACAGACACAACTGGGGACAGGAGGTCTGTTGTGAAGATTTTTACAGAATCACAGAGTGTTTTGAGTTGGAAGGGACCTTTGAAGATCATCTAGTCCAACCCCCCTGCCATGGGCAGGGACAACTTAGTGCTTCTTATTGCTTCTGCAGTACCTAAAGAATTTCCACTCTGGTGTTGTTGAGAACCCCCAAATTGTTCAGCATATTTCACTATTTATATGGCACCATCAACAACAACGTAATACTGCAGAAACAAGAAGTTTATCCTCCTTTAATTTAAGGAATGCAATATTTATTAATTTCTTATCTATATTAAGCAGCAGAATTTACCATTTTTTTTTATTTAGGACTGTACAACTGGTGCTGTATTAAAAAGTTCACATGCATAGATCAAATTTAGCGAGGCACTTTTCTACACCACCTTCTTTTGAAGATGCATGCTACTCTTTACTAAAGAGACTGGTGTGGTCTGGGGAGAAATAAAACACAAATGGTGCCGTGCGGATCAGTCCTGCTGTTACGCTCTAACCCATTTGTGCTCAGCATTCTCGGTTTTACAGAGTAGCAGTCTACCCCTTGTTCTTAGGAAAGGGATGTTTCCAGACCTGAGTCAATGTGTGTTTGAGAAGATGATGCAATTACACGGTACGTCAACATACACATAGGTGCAATTACCCCAAACTGGGGCGGCCGTTACGCATAGCGTCAGATACAACTGTGCAGAGACAAAATACCTCTCTGCCAGAATGCCATGGCAGCAGGGACAGGTCCGTTCTGTATGATTTTTTTTTTTTTTTCTCCTGCAGATTTGGAAAAAGTAGATTTTAATAAAACACAAACAAATATAAAAGAGACTTGTACAGAAGAGTATCAGTAGTATCATTATAAAGCCAAAGACCTCCAAATACTGCACAAGAAGCTCTTTTCAATATTTCAGGCTGTGGTGATTGACCCTAGCTGGACACCAGGTGCCCACCAAAGCTGCTTTCTCTCTCCCTTCCTCAGCTGGACAGGGGAGAGAAAATACAATGGAACCCTCGTGAGTCAAGATAAGGACAGGGAGATCACTCAGCAATTGCTGTCATGGGCAAAACAGACTCAACTTGGGGAAATTAGTTTAATGTATTGCCGATCAAATCACAGTAGGATAATGAGAAATAAACACTAAATCTTAAAACACCTTCCCCCCCACTCCTTCCTTCTTGCTGGGCTCATCTTCAATCCTCAATTCTCTACCTCCTCCCCACCCTGAGCGGTGCAGGGAGACAGGAAATAAGAGTTGTGGTTAGCTCACCACGTGTTGTTTCTGCTGCCCCTTCCTCCTCAGGGGAAGGACTCCTTACACTTCCCCTGCTCCAGTGTGGGGTCTGTCCTATGGGACACAGTCCTCCATGACCTACTTCAACGTGGGTCCTTCCCATAGGCTACAGTTCTTCATGAACTGCTCCAGTGTGGGTCTATTCCATGGGGTACAGTCCTTCAGGTATAGACTCTTCCAGCGTGGGTCCCCCATGGGGTCACAGGTCCTGCCAGAAGCCTACTCCAGTGCAGCTCTCCACGGGGTCACAGCCTCCTTTGGGCATCCACCTGCACCAGTGTGAGATCCTCCATGGGCTGCAGGTGGATATCTGCTCCACCATTAACCTCCATGGAGGGCAGCCTACCTCTCCATGGTCTTTACCACAGGCTGCAGGGGAATCTCTGCAGCACCTCCTCTCTCATCTCGTTCACTGACCTTGGTGTCTGCAGAGTTGTTTCACATATTCTCACTCCTTTCTCTGGCTGCACATTGTTGTGCAGTTTTGGTTTTTTTTTTTTCCCCTTCTTAAATATGTTATCCCAGAGGCACTGTCACTGATGGGCTCGGCCTTGGTCAGCGGTGGGTCCATCTTGGAGCAAGCTGGCATTGGCTCTAT